TTGGGTATGGTATGAATCCATCTCTTTTCCCCTAGCTATGGGTTGAATAGCAGGACAGACTGGGTCCTATAGCCTTAGGAACGAGCCTAGAGAATGACAACTCTGAATTCAAAACCTCCAAGTAACTAGCCTCACCATTGTCCAAGTGAGGTGAGTAAAGCTCCACCTATGAAGGCATGGTCAAGCAGAGCAGGGATCCTCCAGCAGGAGTGAGAAGGTCATGCATTTGAATTTGGATTGGGATGTATGAGTCCTTCTCACTCTGTGCTGTCTAGAGCCACAACCTTACATGGCTAATGTTGAAGTTCTCATTTTGAATTCAGAATTATACTTTTCTGAGACTGGTGACCAACCAAAGGTAGAGAAGCCAGTCTACCCTGCTATTAAACCACAGCTAAGGTGGCGAGAAATGGATTCATAGCTTTCTCAAGTAAAAAGTAAATGCACTGATTTCTGTCAGAATTTGAATTCTGCACACCAATTCCACTTTACATGCTGACAACTACTACACTATCAGTACATCGATATATATATATAAATTTACAATTCAGTGGCATAACTTACATTTATATCTGCATCTATCTATATATAATTACTTTGGGCTGTACTCTAGAAAATTGTTTTAGTCATGTAGAGTCAAGTCCCATTATGTTCACCAAATGGACACACTTTATGGAATCTCTGAATGAATTTATCAATGGATAGAAAAAACAAATAATTTCTTAATGTCAAATGCTTTTATCTTTTACTGAGTCCATCAATGGCATTAACCAATTTCAAATTTGTGTCTCACTTAAATTTTCAACTTAGAAGCCTACAAGAAGCATATTGGTATTATTAAATATGTTTTATATATTTGGTCTTTTTAATTTTATACATAAAAAATTATGTATTTTTATTGCTACAAACGAATACCCCTATTTGAGTAGATGTTCTGTTTGATTTTAAACAGTATTCATTTATGAAATAATACAAATATGTCAGATTAAAAATAAAATCCATTAATTCTTTAGAAATTTATATATGTAAAGATTCAAATGTAAATTAAATGTATCTGTAAAATATGTAATCTGTAATACGAATGAAGTCAAAATGAAAACTTTTCTTTGCCAAAATGTTTTGTCCTCTGAGGACTTTATCTAGGTAATTACAAGGAGTTTTTTTTTTTGCAGCATGTATCTATAAACAGAAGTAAAAAATATCATAAGTTTTCAAAATGTTTAAATTTAAGAACATTTCAAAATATTCTTAAAGCTATGTAAGGAAAGGTAAATTTATATTAGTAAAGGTATATTTAACTATATTTATGTATGCATTTGTATCAAATTTAAAATTTTTAATGCAAATAAGGTGACTTTTTCCATTTTTTATAATTGTTACTTAGTTGAAAACCACATTAACTGCTGAGTTTACGTTTAATATATTTTCATTCAAACAGGTTTGTCTAAATAATTTAGATGCATTCATTATGTCTATTTATTTTAGTTTTAATCCTTTCAAGTCCATGAATTAATTTAATGGTGGCTGTCGAAAATTCATTAAGACCATTTTCATGGGTTTAAAATATCTGTGGATGTATATACATTAGCTTTGCATATTCAAAATATTTTTTTTCACTGTTCATTTTACACTGCAGCATTTAAAATTCAGATATTTTTAATTATGCAAGGGAGCTTTAAGAAAAAGATTTTTAATTATAATATTTTAATTTAGTATTTTTATATAACACTTTGCTGCTGCAAACATTTAAGAACTTTGTTACTATACTTGTAGTTGACTTTATTTTTGGCAGCAATTCTCTTATATAAAAGGCTTCCAGAATTTTTTGCTTATTATTATTTTGATGAAGTACTAATGTATTTTCAATTAATATTGGTCTAAACTGTGAATATGGACATGAGTGTTCTTTTAAATGCTCTGAGAGGGAACTATGCTCATTCAAGTGAAACATAAGCTGTCTCGTCAATGTCATCATTGTAAAACCAACATATGTATTAACATTTTCATCAGAGATGCAATCTCCCAGAGGAGATTTAAATTGATATACAATGTTGGCACTTTGTAAAATACTAGTTGGCAGAAAAGAATTGTTTTGAATGACTATATTGGTTGTATTCAATTTAGTGTAGTATATAATTAATTTTATTTTTTTGCTTGGATCAGTGGGGGATATATTAGTGTTTATGATTCTTTTTAGAATGTTTTCCTCCTGCTTATAGTTAGAATACATTTGATTATGATATAGTAGTTTGATATGTTTAGAGTTATTTGAGGATGTATTATGTATGTGTGTATTACAGGTATCTATCAAGCATTTTCAGTAAAGCACTCCTGATTAAAAGATGATTTTCCCCTATAATGGTGTAAAGTGGGTGAGAGAGAATCTACTGCTTGGGGCTGACACATTCCTTTACTAAGATTTCTAGAATGAGTAGAAAACAGATTATAATTACAATCTAGAAACAGATTACAATTGGAATTAAATATAATACACACTGTTTAATAAATAAAAATGGGGCATCTATTTCTAATATGAATTATTCACTATAACCTTTGAAGTAATATATGTATATGTGTGTGGTTGAGTCTATATTTGAAGGATGTATAATAGCATGTGAAACAAAAGTGAAGATGATGAGACATCTTCACTTTTGTTTCATATATATATATATATATAAATATTTATATATATTACTGTATAATAAGTATTATTGTTCATTACCACACTTTGTATGATTATTCTATTCAGTAACCTTCTGTAGGTTACAAAAATATGTCTGATTAAATAGATTACAAACATTATGCCTGCTTATTTTTAATATAATCTGTTCATATTCATGAATATTTTTCCATGTGTTACAATCAAATGTTGTAAGAAATGCACTGTAACAGTGAAAATTACTTTTATTTCCCAAATACTTTCCATCTCTTTCTTAGATCATCATGAGAGGTGCAATTGGTAAGGCAAAAACTATGTGTAGCTCTTCATTACTATATTTTGTGTTTAAATGCAACGGCTGACGGTTATGGTTTAGTGTTCATTTGAGCATGAAAAAATTATCCAATATGGAATTTTTTCTTTTATTCTCGAATGTCATAGTCAAGAGAGGTACTTTAAGATCCCTTCTCCTGTGGTAAATGATATTTTGTTTAATGTAGGCTGTAATAGCTGTAATAGTTTTGAGTCTTTTATTTGCATTGGGTGCTGTAGAGTATTTTGGTATTATTTACTAGTATTTGTCTTATATGGATAGTTGCATTTCAGTTGTTCATATATATATATATATATATATATATATATATATATATATATATATATATATATATTATAAATTGATTTATTTAAAGTAGAAGTAGATTTATCTGTAACCTTGGAAACGTGAATTATGATTTTAGCTGTGTCTTTAAAACCCAGTAATTTTAAAAAGTTTCTCCAAAATTCGCTTGAGGATGAAATGGAACTAATGTCTTTAATTTAATTACAAAATTAAATTCATAGCTTTTACCTTCCATTTTTGAAACATGGTTAGAACTGTGTAGCGGAAAAAAACATATTTTAAATAAATCAGTTTATAATATTAATGCTCTGTAAATTTACATTGAGCACTATTTTGTAAAAATAAAAATATCTATAAGAACACTGGATTATATATCTTACTGTTCCTTCTTTTTTTTTATATATATATATATATATATATATATATAGATAGATAGATAGATAGATAGATAGATAGATAGATATTGTCAAAATTATTTCTTCTGACCACTGGTTAGCATAGTGAGTTAAATACTAATTATTCAAGCGAAATGTTTTGAAATAGTTATAGTTGATATCTTTGGTTTGCTGTTCTCAGACCATTTTTTTGCTTAATACTAAGAAGCATTACAAAGACTTTCATCATGATTCTTTTTGAGACACAAATACAAGACCGTCTTCTGCTGATAACTACTTTCTTTTTCTTTTTATTGGTTAGAATATTTTTTTAAAAAATGTGTATTTTTCTCCTTTTTCTATTATTATTTGCTTGAATATTTTTAGAATTTTTGACAATGTTTTTCACTTTTTTTATCTCTTTACTCACCTTTTTTTTTCTTGGCTTTTTTATTTTTCACTAGAGTTCAAGTATGATGTCAACAAGGTAATTTTTTCTTTTGGCAATATTTATTCTGTAAGAATTCAATTTCATTCTTTCAATTGATGGTGAAAGGAAGGATTATTTTTTTTCATTTATTATTCTTTTTGTAGAATGACCTAGTTTTTCCCCATGCCTCCACTTCAAGCCCAAATCTACTGCTGGGCATTTTTGGAACAGAGGAAAGATAAATAAGATTGGATATAAAATCAAAAAGGCCTCAAGGAAGCAAAAATATTAATAATTATATTCTTCAACCACAATAAGTGTAAACTACTAATACTACTACTAAATCTGAAAAAAATAAGTAGTTATGTACAATGATATTGCTTCTTCTACAAATGTGAAAATTACCATATTTAACACTAGTATATTGGATGCACTTATTTCCCAACAAAATGATTCATATAATCACTTTGCTTCTGAGATATGAAAATGAGGCTTGTATTTATTTGACTTTACTTCTGTAGACAACCAGTATTTCTGGAACATTTTTTGCTGAAATATGCAAACATTTTGTTTTTGCTGATGTGTTGAAATTGTCATTAAATATGATATTTTTATGATGTGTTTTTTTCTATTTCATTCTAAACAAGGAAATAATGCCACTAGGTTGTAAAGGATTACTGGGAGTAAAAGAGAATGAAAAGACTTTAGTGAAGAGATGTGAGAAGAAAGGACAATAAAAGAACAGGTCTTAGGAAAATAGATATGGCAATTGATATTGCATTTAGATTTTTGAAAATTGTATGTAGCAAGAAATTGGAAGAGAGTTCCACAGGTGATAAGTGTGAAAAAATAAACTATTAGAATGGAACTGATGGTTGCATTTAGCTAGTTCAACCATAAGATGGTGAGATCCAGTTGTCACGAACTTGCTGAAATTATGACTTTATGATAAGTAAAAAGAACATTTTTGATGAGTAACAAAAAAAAAAACAGATGGTGGTTAAAGAAGAAATAAAGAAAGAAAATCCAAATATGAATTCCAATGAGAAAGATGTAAAGAAAAAGCAAATTAGAAGTGATAAAAAGAACAAAAGACTGAATGAGGAGAATATAAAAAAAAGAAGAAAGAAGATGGAAAAGATGGAATAAGAAGCAATAAAAGAAGAAAGAAGATGGAAGAGGAGAAGAAGAAAGATGGGGAAGAAATATAGAAAGGAAATAAAACAGAAGAAGAAAGAAAAGAAGAAATAAAATACAAATGAAAAGAATAAAGAAGAAGGAAAAGAATGATAATGAAAGGAAAGCTAGAAAAGGAATTGTAAAAAAGAAAAGAAGAAAGAAAAATAGAAAAAGATAAAGATGATTAAAAAAGAAGGAGATTGACAAATAAAAGAAGATATGTAGGAAGGAGAGAAGGAAATAGGAGAGAGAAAAGAAGAAAGAGTTGACAGGGAAACAAAACACTAGATTGTGAAGGACCTGATGAAAGAAAAAGAGGACAATATTGAGTGAAATGAGATAAAATTGAAAAAGAGGGAAAAGGAGAGAGTAAAAAATAAATAAATAACAAGAGGCAAATAGAGAAAATGAGGTAAAAAAGAAAAACCTTTTAGAAATCTGAAGATTACAAAACTTGCAAAAAAAAAAAAAAAAAAAAACTAGAGAGAAACAAGGATCAGGAAACAAAAATGTGAACATTTATAAGAAAAACCTAAAAACTCCCTAAGAAAGCCTTTGAAGATTTGGATAAAGGACAATCTAAAAACAAAGACTGTTAAAGAGAAGAAGTCATTCCAAGGATGAAAAAATGGAGTCAAATTATACAAGGAAGACAAAATATAAAAGGAAAGAGGAAGAAAATATGATGCAGATGATAAAAAGATAGAAAAAATTATTCAAAGGAAAGAAATCTTTGGTAACAAAAGGCATCATTAAAAATCTCCAGAAAAAATAGAATCTGACCATGTATCTTGGGAGGTCGGAAATTTAATTACCATAAATTGTGACATACAAGTTGAGTTTTCAGGGCTAAAAATCTTTCCAAAACTAGGGGTTGACTTATATGACAGGTATAAAATGCAAACCTTTACCACTGAGTTGCAAACAAGTTATAGACAACACTTCTAACAATTACTGTACCCACTTACTGTACCTCCAGCAGGCTGACACAAATCATCATCATCATCATCATCATCATTGTCGTTGTCATCGTCGCCATCATCATCGCCATCATCATCATCATCATCATCATCATCATCATCATCATCCCCTTGACTTTTGTAATCATAGGGGGTATCCAAATGCAGAAGCCACACTGAATCTCCTCTACAACGTTCTATCAATGACAGCCATCATTTAAATCAGGCGGCCATTCAGTTGTAGTTGATGTTGGCTTTAATGTGTTTATCAGTAGACCTGATAAATTTTAGATGTTCACTAATAACATTAAAATATACAATACCTACCAGTGTGTGTTGTTGTTTGCTATGCAATGAATATAGAAAGACATTACAGTTAGTGACTCCATATAGAGGTAAGTGGTGTGACCTGATGTAGTTTTGGCACAGGTTATTGTATACTGTAGTTTAACTTCATTTACTGTTAGGCCTAAGTTTTGGGCCAGTGGCAGCCTACCATATCTTTAGGTGCCAATCTATATGGTAGATATAGGCCTAACAAAGAATTTTGAGCTAAAATCCTTGACTAAAACTAAAACTAAAAAGAATTAAAAATCTAAAAATAAGATAATTCTCAAAAAGTATTTTGTTTTCCCTTTTTTGTTTTATATTTTTTCTCTTTATAAAAAATACTTAAAAATATGTAGAAAATTTAGCCTAAGTCAATTTTTATGAATTTGATATGTTGAACATTTATTACCATAACTTCTGTATTAATTATTTGAGAGAACCTTATCTGTCTTTCATCAGCATGGCTGATGCTAATCTCCAGGGAAGTGACACATTGAGCCTTCCTATGCTAACATTCTTTGCTGCTGCTAAGAAGAAAGATTATATTGAGTCAATTGCTAGGTCTGCTGTTAGGAAAGTTGGTTCACTATGTCATGCTAAACAATTTTTCATCTTACCTAATTATAAGTCTAGCATTCTTGTCCATCTTTGAGTATTGCTGCCACATATGGCCTGTTAAATCTGCTATATATTTTAAGATTCTTGATAAGATTATGCAATATTATTGGTTCTGGCCTGGCATCTTGGCTTCAATCACTTTTCCACAGCCATAAAGTAGTTTCCCTGTGCTTTTTCTATAAATACTTTCATGGTAATTGTTCTGAAGAACTTTCTACTATAGTACTATGCATATTGTAAATACCTATTGGGGTTAACTTTTAGAATTGTTGTTTTATTCCCTTCCCTCCCACAGACAACGAATTGTAAATATGGGGACTAGTTAGTATTTTCATAGAGACAAAGAGGTATTATGGTGGTTGTAGTAAGAAAGGTACGAATGAATGTGTTGTTTTGGTGTAAGGAATATTGTTTCGTACATTTGGGTCAGTGCTTGCGGCTAGCTAAGTTATAGTTAAGACAGAAGAAGACCATCCTTTCCCCAATCCCCTTTTCGGCCTTGTGCCACATTTCTGTATTGTACAGAATAAATATCACTTTCTACTATAGTACCAAGACTATGAATTTAAGTGCAGTACTAGATTGGCAACAAGGTCATATCAATTTAATATTGAATTAACTAGATGCTACCATAAGTTCTATGCTGACAGTTTCTTCTTTCTTACTTCTCGCTTCTGGAACTTTCTTCTGGCTCCATGCTTTTCAATCAATTTTAATCTTTAAACATTTAAATGCAATGTCAATCATTATCTATCGTCTTCTTGATTCCTCTTTTTTTATTGTTCTTGCTCATTAATAATGTTTCCCTTTTTTATTTCTTTGTCACACTCAGTAACCACTTTGTATCTCTAAAGCTTTACTGCTTTGCTTGGGGTGAAATGATAAAAAACAAATTGTTCTGATGACTTTTCATGTAGAAGGTTAAAAGTTTTTTCTTGAATATCATATTATGAGTGTGCTTTTTCCTTCATTAGTAAATAAAATATTGCACCCAGTCATTAGTTAAGATTTACAACTAAACAATTATTAATAATGTTTTAACTGCATGGAAAAATGGCTGAAAAAGATATATCAAAGATGCTGTTTGGATTTGTGAGAAAAAGAAGGCCTACATAATAAGAAAGAAAGAAAGAAGGAAAGAAAAAAGAAAGAAAAGGAAGTCAAAGAAGGCAATTTGTACCCTCTTACTGCTTTAAATAATGACCTTCATTCATACTTATGAATATGCAATATTTTTTCAAAGTTAAATACAGATATTTAATGATGCAATAGGGGAATTTCCACATGTATTTTATAATTATAGAACCCATAAGGAGCTTATTCAATCATTAACTTAAAAATTATGATTCATCAGAAAATTCAAATAGGAAAACCAAAACATTTTCATGGGTATTGCAAGTAGATTTTGAATCTCACTGAATGTTATATCAAGTGTAGCACATATTTTATAAAAAGTTCAAACAAAGTAGGTGATACGATGAATTAAATTGGACAAAAACTGGGAGAAGTTTCTTTTTTATGAAAAATATTAAACAAGCTATCAATGTAAGATAAAAATAAAATCATGATCCAGCATTTTGATTGGTTGAGAGCTTAAGGACAAGTTCATAACCATTAAAAAAACAAGGAAAAAATAAGCCTTCAGTTGAGAGGTTTTTTTGGTTTTTTTTACTATTTCATGATTATTTTTTTTAATGTTATTTTTATTTCTTTATAATTTTAATTTCTCCTCCTCCTCCTTTTTTTGGTATCCACACTCTTGAAGGCAATATTCCCAAGTGAAGAAACTATTTAAAACTATCATGGGTCAGTAAGCAGAATCTGAGTTCAGTAAAATAATAAAAGATAAAAATACAAACTAACAGAGAAAAGAATGCTAAACTTTGTATTATTTTACATCACTGTTTTTATTTCTTTCTACTTCTTTTAAGCAAATAGCCCTGGGACTCTCAGACCGTCTGCTTTTGGCGTCAGTTGCCAGATCTATAAAATACAAAATCAATCAGTTGCTCAAGAAGAATTATTTTTATTTTTTATTTATTCAAAGACATAAAATATTCCAAAAATTTTATAATTATAACTTTGGTAAGTAAATAATAAATATATACAAACATTTGTATATTAATTGACATTTGGAATTTACAAGTATTTTAGAACAGTTATTGGTTTAAAGCATTCTTGCAGATTTAAAAACTGATTATCTTTGCTTCACACTACTTAGTTAAGAGTTCTCTTCTGTAGTAATTGGTTTTTAAATAAAGAATTAATAGCACATTCAATGAGAACCAGACTAATTTCACCATTACTTAATGTATAGTAAACTAGACATTTAATAAACATAACATAGTGGACATCAATCTGCAAAAGAGCTCATTAACCATAGCTCAATGAAAGGTACCGTAAATATATAGTAATCATAGCTTAGTTTGACACAAGGCCAGAAAAAGAGGATTAAGCTTACTGAATCAATGAATGATTAAATTGGTAACATGCCTTTTCTCATATACCAGGCTTTTCTGAATGCCTTTTGTCAGATTATTTTGAAGAGTGTGTGTGTAGGGGGGCGGTAAGTAAGTGAGGAGCTGTAAGAATTTGCACATTAAGAATAGTTTACATCATTTTCAGAGGAGAAATAATTTCTGGGATGGCGGCAGGCATCCCAGAAGTCCCTAAATCTTCAACGGACCTGCATATCTGGAAAATATATAGTCATTTTGAATATCTCAAGAATGAGTTGCATAGTCTTAATCAAACTTGACAATTTGTCTGCAAGGACCACAGTGAACATGTTTGAACAGATACTCTCCCATGGGGTTATTCAGTAGGCAGTAAAACACCACAGAATATTAAATGAAGATCATTTGCATATTGATGACCAGCTATCTGATAAGATAATGGTAACACTGTAGTTGGTTAGAAACAGTCCCATCATGAGGAACATCAAGAATGACTCAGCAATGGAATTCTTGAATGAAAATCTTGTCTGAAAATCTAGTGTGTGGGGTGTGAACTTGATTTTGCTGTCTTTGTTCCTTGCCTCATCTTCTATCCTCCATCTGATGCCTGTACTTGTCCATGCCTCTCTTGGTCTCTTCTCAAACAGCCTGTTGCCTGTCACTGTGATCACCTACAATTTGCTTCAAGTTATCATTCTCTGTGGATTTTAAGGATAATTCTCTGTGAATTTTAAGTTGTTTGTGTAGACATCCTTAAAGTATAGTGTAGGGTGGCAGATCAATTTACATCATATACTTTGTTAAGAAATTCAATGATGTGCATCGAGTTTTGCTTAAAATCTGAACATATATTTGCAGAAACTATCTGAATGATTAAGAAATTTTTGGGAGATAATTTAGGGAGCTCAGTAAAAGTTTGATATCAATCCTTCAAACTTGGCCAGGAATCTGTTGAAAGTAATTTATATTCTTGGAGGTTTTCAACAAGCAGGATAATTGAATTATTTTATGCATTTGGGCTGCAATCAAAAGAAATTGGTGATTGACACTGAGAATTAGAAAAAGAACTGTCCAGAAAGTATTCAGCCATTTGAATATATCGATTGTTACACTCTTTATATGCCATGTTGTTTGTTTTTGACAAAAGATTTCATCATTCAAGTCTATCAGGACTTCCAGCAGACCAACATTCCTGGATTCCTGCAACTTCTGTTTTTTCCTAAAACTAAAAAAGGCTTTTTAAAGGGATTGCAGATTTTAGAGGATAGGCAAGATTAAAGAGAACACAAGACAGCTGGTAGTAATCCTGGAGAAGAATTTAGAGCTTGTTTTAAAAAGGGGAAGCAATACTAGGCTGAATATGTGAAGTCCTAAATAAATAATATAT